ACAAAAACACTCATAGAAACAAGCAAGAGATCACAGATATTGGACATATTAATGATAATTTGAGTAGCTAATATATTTTGGGCAGTGCTCTAAGCACTTTAACATATATTAATCCATAATTCTCACAACACCCTATGAAGTAAATACTATTATTGATTCCATTTTACAAATGAGGTAACTGAGGCACAGGAAATAACTTAGCCAAGTTTCCATAGGATATTCCAGTGGACCCAGGATTTGAACATAATTGGGGTAAACAGTCCATCCCTACACTACACTATACTACAATTATACTGCCTCTTTTAAAAACAACATATAAGTAATATGATTTAAGAAATAAATGAGGACTGAAAAATGAAAACAATAGGACTATCAAGAATGAGTAGGTAGGGACTTTTCCCTGGTGGTCCAGTGGCTAAGTCTCTGTGCTCCCAATGCAGGGAGCCCAGGTTTGATCCCTGGTCAGTGAACTAGATGCCACATGCTGCAACTAAGATTTCGCATGCCGCAACTAAAGATCCCGCCATGCGGGAAGCCGCATGCCATGCGGCACGGCCAAAAAACCAAAAAAACAAAACAGAAACAAAGGAGGAAGACAAGACTTAAGAGTGAGTGGCAGGGCTTCTCTGGTGGTGCCGTGGTTGGGAATCCACCTGCCAATGCAGGGGACACGGGTTCGAGCCCTGGTCCAGGAAGATCCCACATGCCGCAGAGAAACTAAGCCCGTGTGCCACAACTACTGAAGCCCGCGCGCCTACAGCCCGTGCTCCACAAGAGAAGCCACTGCAATGAGAAGCCCACACACCGCGACCAAGAGTACCCCCCCCCACCGTAACTACAGAAAGCCCACGTGCAGCAACAAAGACCCAACACAGCCAAAAATAAAATAAATAAATTTATTTAAAAAAAAAAAAAAAGAGTGGCAGATGTTGTAGGGATGGGTGTCGGGGTAAAAGATGCATTTTTCTTTCCGTACCATTTTCTTCAGCAGTTATTCAATCTTTTGGGGGCACAAGGTTGTCTTACCCTCAAATTACATTTAAAAGCAACATTTTGCAGAATACCTTTAGGCCAAAATAAAGGCTAAATTCAAGAGTGCTTCAAAACACATGGAAATATCACATACATAGAATAGACTGGAGAGTTACAGAAAAATTGGTATGTTTACCTGAAAAAATGGTGAAATATTTCTTATAACATATTTAGTGTGTTTTAGGGTAAAAATGTTAATTTGAAAAAAATAATTCTAAAAGTTGGTGGGGGGCTTCCCTGGTGGTGCAGTGGTTAAGAATCCGCCTGCCAATGCAAGGGACACAGGTTTGAGCCCTGGTCTGGGAAGATCCTACATGTTGCAGGGTAACTAGGCCCGTGCGCCACAACTACTGAGCCTGTGCTCTAGAGCCCGCGAGCCACAACTACTGAGCCCACGCGCCTAGAGCCCGTGCTCCGCAACGAGAGAGGCCACTGCAGTGAGAAGCCCGCACATGGCAACGAGGAGTGGCCCCCGCTCGCTGCAACTAAAGAAAGCCGCGCACAGCAACAAAGAAGTAAAGTAGCCAAAAATAAATAAATTTATTTTAAAATAAAGTTGGTGGGTTATTTTTAAAAAGCCATTTTGGAAAAAAAAAAGTACCTGAACAACAACTGATTTTAGTCTCTATTTTGAAAATAATCATCACATATAAAAAGATAAGGAATGTGCGATGATGAAACAGTGAATCTTGGTCATGATTATTAGGTGGAAGGTTGATGGAAGCTTTAGAAAGGGTGAATCAGGCTGACAACACCTGAATCAACAATCTTAACATCACTAAAAGTAGAACAGCGAGACAGTGTCTTCCGTAGTGATGAAAAACATAACCACCTATGAGAAGGACCCTGAATCTAATCAAGTCTCTAGATCTAACCAGTGGTATACAGCAAGTAAGGGAGGTAGAGGCACAATCAGCCAAATCTAGAAGCCCCTGGCCCTCTATGCTAAAGGATGAATGACCCAGGTACTTCATCAAACAAAGGGCATTTAAAAAAGGCGAGAGGAGAACTGTTAATAGATTAAAAGAGATTTAAGAGACTTATCAGCCAAATGCAAAGTGTGGACCCTGTTTAGATCCTGATTTAATTTAAACAAATCAACCGTAATAAGATTTTACTTTTGAGACAACTGGGGAATTCGAAAATGCAGAGAGTATTAGTTAATATTTTGGAATTACTGTTAATTTTGTTAGGTACGACAATGGTATTGTGATTATATTTATAAAAATTTATCTTAGAAATGCTTAGGTATTGATGAAATGATGATCTCCCTTAGAAATACCATGGTGAGGGACTTCCCTGGTGGCACAGTGGTTAAGAATCCGCCTGCCAATGCAGGGGACACGGGTTCAAGCCCTGGTCCGGGAAGATCCCGCATGCTGCAGAGCAACTAAGCCCGGTCGCCACAACTACTGAGCCTGCACTCTAGAGCCCGCAAGCCACAACTACTGAAGCCCACGTGCCTAGAGCCCGCGCTCCGCAGCAAGAAAAGCCACCGCAATGAGAAGCCCACACACCACAATGAAGAGTAGCCCCCACTCGCTGCAACTAGAGAAAGCCCACGCACAGCAACGAAGACCCAATGCAGTCAAAAATAAATTAAAAAAAAAAAAAAAAGAAATACCATGGTGGGTGCGTGGGTAGGAATAAGAATGGGGGTAAAGATTAAATAAGATTGAAAAAATGAGACATTTTATTTTTGCATGGGTGAAAATTTCTACAATAAAAGATTTTTAAAAACCCTTAGGAAAGCATAAGAAATGAATGTTTAAAGCAGAAATGAATATATTACAATACAGAACTCCAATAAAACTGTTAAGTCTGAGAGCTGGTTCTCTGAAAACAACAAATTTAAAAAATCTGAAATAATTTCCTGGAAATACAAAGTAACAAAACGAGTCAAACATCTAAAAAAGACCAGCTACACCTGCAGGTCTCGGCTCTGCTAATCCAACATTTAATCTCCAGACCTCTATTAACTTTGATTTTGGCATTATTCCAGCATTCTGCTGAGGAAATACTTTGAACATTGTATGAGGTTGTGGATTCCACAGATCTGTTGAGTTTTGAGACAACTGGTTCTTATTTTTATATTTTTGAGAAACTTAAATTTTTAAAAATATGTTTCAATGCGATTTTGAAACAGAAGAGACTGCTTATCATCTTTATTGTTCACTTTAACTGTAAGTCTATTCTCTGTGACGCAAATAGCTGCTGTGATAAATATTTGACTTAGAGGGTTTTTTTTGTTTTTTGTTTTTAAAGGAAATACCTGTCCTAAGAGGAAATACTGCCCATATTCACAGTGCTTAACATTTCTAAAGGCAAACCACTTCTAAAGCACTCACTTTTCACAAAACACCTCTGGTGAGGAACACAGAACAAATTCTTTGCTCTAAGTCCAGCAAATGCTCCGTGACTCACTTGCTCAGGTTCACAGTCAGTCAGTAATGGTGGGAGATTCCCAGCTGAGTAACCCTTATCCTCAGGGGCCCAAATTAAAGGGAAGCCCCAGCCACTGCTTGCTCATCTCATCGATGTCCCAGAAATCTTTGGCCTAATCCTCATTGGAAATTGCTCATATCTTCAATTTAACACAACCAACCAACCAGCCTACTCAACAGCCTCATTTGACCCCTCTCAAGCACAGCTCCATGAAGCAGCAACATCAGAGATCATTATCTCTTTTACACAATGGAAGCTGAAAGATGAAGTGCCAAGGTTTAAAAACAAAAACCCCAGAGCAGAGAGGCTTTGAATACTAAGTATATACCACTGGGCAATTTGAAACCCTGCCCCATTCCCCACCAGGAATCCAAGCGCATAAAAATAAATGTATAGCAGTCAGGATCCATCAATAATCTCAACCCCATCACCCCAAAATTGACCCTTATAAACCTAGCCTTTGATCTAGTCTGCAACTATTCTCTCATTAACCCACGGTCAGTCCCTCTTTAGAGTGCAAATTAAACAAGGCCACCATAAAGCTCCTTGGGACAAGAAGGCTCAAAACCACAAAAGGAAAGCCAATACCAGGAATGCTATAAACATTTCATTTTATTTATTTTTTTTAAGAAAGTAGCTTCAGAAAAAGAGGAAAATAATCTAGGTCATATATATATATATATATATATATATATATATATATATATATATACATATATATATATATATACTTTTTAATAAAATCCTTTCTGTAATCTTCATGCATGAAGACCCAGGGAGGCATGCCATGTTGTCTGTGACAGCCCTCACACCACAGTCTCAGACCGTTACCTGGGGCTCCCCACAGCTGTGGGCAGCAGTGTAGCAAAAGCCCCCTGCCTCCCCCTGAAGCCCAGATCCTTGCCTGCCTCAGTGATGGTTTCACCATCTGGGACTGTAAATGGAGGGTGGGAAATGCTCTGGGCTAGAGTGGGAGGGACAGGGAGGGCTACCCAACCTGCCATGTTTCATCCAAACTCTTCAGGCAAATCCAGACAGGAGGCCTAGCAAGATGACTGAAAACCAGGCACCAAACTGAATTCTGGGAGTTTCCCAGAGATGTGTGATCTGGTACCAAGAGCTCCTGCACGGGGAAGGTTTGGTGTTCACAGAACATTCAAGACAGGAAGAGCAGTCAAGCCTTGAAGCCCCACCCCTCGATGGCAGGCACTCACTTCTACCCTAAATGGGTCAGAAAGACCCTGTTCTGCTTCCTAATTCAGTCCAACTCTCTTCTGACGCCAAAAGTCAGTGTTAATCAACAACCTACTTCAGAGACACATTCTCCTTCCTTCTGTGGATAGTTCACTTGTTAAGGGAGGACAGTCCTAGGTCAACACATTTGTCCCATCACCTGTCCCACTCCTTCTAAAGAGTCCTAGTATAAAAGGGCAGGAGTAGGAGTAGGGTAGCAGTTTGGCATCGAGTCACAAGATCCAGAATGGCTGAGGGAGGAAAAGCATTCCCTGGTTCTTAGGGGGTGCGGGAATTCTGCCAAAGGTGCTTTACCGACGCTTTACTGACCATTTACAAAAAGAAAGGGAAAAAAAAAAAAAGAATAGTCTTGAGGATGGTAAAAAAGAGACTTGGATCCTTTTTTGGGGGTTCCAAAAGCCCTTATGCTGTGTTTAGTATTAAGAAAGCCGTGAACAACTGGAGGTTGCTGCTTGGGCAGCAGGAAGGGAGGGTGGATTCCATGGCCAACCCAGAGAATGGCAAATGGTGCCAATCAACTCAACGTAGGGGACCTCTGCGTAGTGAGTGTGAATCGGCATGTGAGTGTGGTGCGCGGAGCCTGGGGCTCACTGGCTCCCCACAGTCAGTTCCCGCAGGTAGGACTGTGTGAGACTGCGCAGTTCCTCCAAGGCATAGTCCTCAGGCATGGGGAGCCGGCCAATGTGGGGAGCCAACAGGCGCAAAGGGACTCGCTGAGGGTCTGGCGTTGAGTCGGAGGTTGCATCAGGGGCATGCTGAAGGCTCAGTACCACCCGCAGCAGGTTGGCTACACGTTTGGCCATGTCTGGAGAAAGAGAGCAGAGTAAGCACCAAAGGACTGGGGGTGAGGTGTGGGTATAATAATCATAAAGACAGGCAATGAGCAGGCAGGAAGGGGGAGGAGGCGAGAGGCTGACCTGACTGAGCCAGGCGATCCTTGGCATTGTAACACTGGATCTGCTCTATCCGGTTGCACAGTGAGGTCACTTTGGTATGTAACTGCTCTAGCTCATAACCTGAGCAATCCACCTACAAAGAAGCAGAGGAACCAATTAGGCCAAGAGGAGCTCCCATCACTCCAACCCTACCCATAGACTGACTATGCAACACTCTGAAACAAGAGTAAGGTGAGGGAGGGGAAAACCCAAGAAGCTGGCCGGCAGTGCCATGTCACCACCATCCAGCCTAGTCGCTGAGGATAAGACGAGACCTTAGCAATTATACACAACAGGAAAACAATATAGTATACAGGGCCTAGGATTGGGCAAGTCTTGAAATCACCATTCGTGAACCATGTAACTATCAGGCTTTAACACTGCACCAAAAATCTACATAAATCTGGGTTCACAAACATGGTATTGATTTCTTAAGAGCACACAGTGAGAGGTGGAGCCCAAGCCAGCACTTAATTTAAGTCTCCTGACTCCAACTAAGAATCAGCATTTAATTATGCAGATATTAACAGGAATTGTGGCTTTGTTAACAACAGAAATCAATTACTTTCATGCCAAATGTTATGTGAAACATCCTCACCAAATCTCTGACCTTACTTTATCTCTCAACCCTAAGCTTCTCATTTAAAACTAGGGGAAAAGATGAGAACAAGGGGAGGAGACTGACTATGGACAAGGCTTAGGAATGTCCATTGTACACACTACTTGGCAATAAGCACCAAAAAACGTTTTAAAGTTTTGATAGAGCTGTCATAGTAACTACATCAAATTAGCTTCATCAAAATATCCCTCCTGGGCTTCCCTGGTGGCGCAGTGGTTGAGAGTCCGCCTGCCGATGCAGGGGGACACGGGTTTGTGCCCCGGTCCGGGAGGATCCCACATGCCGTGGAGCGGCTGGGCCCGTGAGCCATGGCCGCTGAGCCTGCACATCCGGAGCCTGTGCTCCGCAACGGGAGCGGCCACAACAGCGAAAGGCCCGCGTACCGCAAAAAAAAAAAAAAAAAAAATCCCTCCTACACTGACAGTGCTATCTCTGCCAATGAGTTTTTCAAGTCGTTGCTCAAGCCTTTGGAGGTCGCTATGGCTCTGTGGGCCAGGGAAAGGGGAAACTAGGCCGTGGTTTAAGGAACTCAGGCACCTGCTGTATATGATGGAGCATTTCGATGACCCGAATGTAGTCCAGGTAAACAAGCCCAGATGTCTCCCAGTCCTGGATTAGGCTGCTGCGCTCCGGGGGTGCCAGGTCTTCCAAGAACCCCTTCAGGTAGTCATAGTTCTCGTTAATAATGGCATCTGAAGAAACAAAATATTGACCAAAAGTGCACAAAGGAAGGACATGGCAGAAAGATCTAAGACAGGAAGAAAGGGAAAATTATGTTGGGTGAGACTTGAGAATTACAGTAGATATTTTGAAATTCTCTTAAGAAAACTGTGAAGAATTTCTGGCTTCAGTTTCCCAAACAGATATTTCTGGTGTTGCTGAATAAAACTCCCTAAATAAACAAAGAGTTTAACATAATTAGTGAATATCAAGAATATTCCTGGCAAATGGGAATGTAACAATATTGCTGTTGACCCCGCCCCTCACCCTTACCAAGCATCTTCTGCACAGAGAGCTTTTACAAAGTGTGATCTGATTCAAGTCTGCCATACCCTGTTCTGATCATCATTTCTGGCCTGACTCATCATGGGCTCAGAGACTGGAAGAATTGGGGGTAATACCAGGAGACACAGGCCCTAGTCTGAAGCACTCACCAGAAGCTAAGTGCTGGATGACGAGTTTGTGGCAGCGGTTCCAGTGCCCCGCTTTAAATAAATAGAGGGCCTCCAAGTGCCTGTTGGATTCCATGTGTGCTCGCACTGCTTTGGCCTCATGAATCCACTCAGCAGGCACACAAAGCTTCTCGGTCAGGAAAATCTCCTTAGCCCACGATTCAGGGGTCTCCAACAGTCGGCAGTGCCGCGTAAGCAGCTCTCGAACAGCCTTCTCACGCATGCTATAGGAGGAAAGGTCAGCTGGGATAAATCTCATTCTCACTGATGGAGAAGGCTGCCTCAGACAGCTCACAGTGGCCCGTGAGGCAGTCTCTTAAACTGCAGGTCCTGACCCTTAGCGGATCACCTCAAACTTCACTTAAAAAGCTATCACACCAGCATTAATTTTTAAAATGAAACAGAATAGAAGCATTCTGTAAAAACATTATATTTTCATGGTCAAAAAAGTCTGAAAACGAATACTCCTGGGAAGGTTGCCCACTACCCTGAAAAGGTTTTCTCCTGACTCGGCTCATTTCTTTCCTTTTTAAAAATTTTATTGGAGTACAGTTGATTTACAATGTTGTGTTAGTTTCAGGTGTACAGCAAAGTGATTCAGTTATACATGTACATATATTCATTCTTTTTTAGATTTTTTTCTCATATAGGTTATCACAGAATATTGAGTAGAGTTCCCTGTGCTCTATAGTAGGTCCTTGTTGTTTATCGATCTTATATATAGTAGTGTGTGTGTGTTCATCCCAGTAGGCTCATTTCTTTGTTTCCTTTCTCTAACAGGAGATGAAGGACTGGGATAGGGGAATTCTAGATCCACCAAGCACTCTGCAGTTTATTCCTAACCTCCTCCCTGCCCTCTCTCTTACGTGGTCAATGCAAGAAAACAAAGTAGTTTTTAAACATAAGGTCTCTTCCAGGTCGTTTTTTCCCTTAAAAGTCATCAGCCTTCCTAATTCATTTTCTCTTTACTGCTAGACTTAGGCTAAACTCAATCTTTCTGCTCTCAAGGCCACTTAAATAGAGTCCTTCTATGTCTGGGCCAAAGGATCAGTCATTTTAATTTCAGATCAAAGCTATTCTCCTCCTCTTAGATTCTTTTCTCAACTCCTAGCTTTTTCAAAGGACTCCCAATCTCATGACAACTGCCTCCTTTTTTCCTCCCCTTTAGGAAATAGGATCTGCTTTCCCACAGCCAATCATCAATCATCCCATCAGCCAGCCTTTTACCACGTGAAATTCTCCATGAATGTGTTTAAATAAACTCAGAGGAAAATTCTGGGATCATTTTGTTTCCTGGTAAGGAGCAAGAGGAAAGAGAAATTCCTTAAAAGTAAGGTTGTGCTGGATGCTTTACACTTTTAATTCCACAGTCACCTTTGAATAGAGATTAATATTTAAAAAAACTGAGGTCTAGAGAGTGTCTTTACTCAAAGTCAAAAGTGAAGTAAGCTCTACCTTAGGTCAAAGTGAGTACATGGTGGAGCCAGAATTTAGAAAGCTCTGACTACAAAACAACTTCTTTCCATGCCCTAAGACATGACAGATAGTATAGTACAATGATTAAGAGGACAGACTCTGGGTGTCTTGAGTTGAAAGGCTCACTCTGCCATTTAGTAGCTATGTGACCTTGAACAAAAGTTACCTAATCTCTCTATCCCTTGGGTTGCTCATCTATAAAATAGACAGTAAGAGTGTCTCATAGGTTCATTATGAGCATTCAATGAGTTAATATATTTAAAGTACTTGCAACAGTGTATAAAGATATATAAAAGCATTATATAACAAAGTATTATATAAATGTTTTTGTTCTTAGTGTTATGCCATGCTGCTACCATTAACAAAAAACCTCCAACTTCATCTCATTTAAAGCATGGAACAGAGATGTTTCTCTGGTTTTTGTTCAGCACAAAGAACCAAAACATTACACATCTAAGCAAGATTGTATTGGTAAATAGGTAAATACAACACTATCAAACTTGAGGGATAGGGGTGGGTGGATGGAAAGGGAAGGGCCAGTAAAGAAAAAGCAGGGGCCCTCCCTGCCAACCATTACTCCACAGATCCAACTCGGACAGCACTATTTCTGCATAATTCTAAACATGCCACATTCAAGGAATTTGTGCCTAGTTAATGGGGTTTCTCCACCCGGGCATATCTTTCCTTCCCACTTAATTATTTCCTATACCAATTTTACACATACTTTGAATCTTATCTCTAGAGAGACTCAGAGATTCTGCAGTTCACAGAGATCTCTTCTCCCTTCTCGGACTACTGGGAGGCCTTATGATAAATAGCACGATTTGGCACTTAATCAAAGGCAATCTTCTTTCTAACGTGTTCACATGAATACAGAGACAGTCTGGGCTGCAGGTTGAACTGTCTTAAGGTTTATCACAAGGCTGGACCCAAAAATACATTCTAAACACTTACTTGCTGAACTGAACCCTAAGAGACTGATTCCTTTGGCATTGCCCTGTAGCGCTGGATGCAACCAGTGTGTTTGACGGCTTCTCACTCACCTTGAGTTGTCAATGTGCAGGAGGACAAAGATGGCCCACTCCCAGAGCCCCTCACTTTCCAGCTGGCCAGCATAACTGGCCTGCAGCACACCCTCACACTGCTCTGAGAGATGGGTGTAGTTAAGAGCCCGCAGCACCTCCCACAAGTGCCAGCTTAGACGGTAGTCCAAAGGATCTGCTGTTATGCTTCGAGGCTCCAGCAGCTGGTTGAGATCATAATGTCTGCAAAGGAGAATGTGCTGAGAGTTACCAAACCCAGCTAGCAGACCACCTGTACTGGACGAGTCAACTGTCTCAGCTACAGCTTACAAAACAATAAAGGCAGGCAGCTGGGAGCAGAAGCATCATAAGCCTTATAGTCTTCCTCCTCTAGGTTCAGCCACATTACCGATCTACCAAAAACCAAGGCACCTCGTCTTCGGTGGCTCTTCTACCAGGTGTGCTGGTAGTTGTTTGGTCTATTTTTACCATCCTGGTACAGGGAGTCTTCACAACTCTCTCCCTTCCATTCTTTCACTGTAGTATCAATTACTTTTCTTAACGATTTTGAAAATACACGTTAATTCAAAAAGAGACATGTACCACAATGTTCACTGCAGCACTATTTACAATTGCCAGGACATGGAACCAACCTAAATGTCCATCAACAGATGAATGGATAAAGAAGATGTGGCACATATATACAATGGAATATTACTCAGCCATAAAAAGAATCGAAATTGAGTTATTTGTAGTGAGATGGATGGACCTAGAGTCTGTCATACAGAGTGAAGTAAGTCAGAAAGAGAAAAACAAATACCATATGCTAACACATATATACAGAATCTAAAAAAAAAAAAAAAAGGTACTGATGAACCTAGTTGCAGGGCAAGAATAAAGATGCAGACATAGAGAATGGACTTGAGGACATGGGGTGGGAAGGGGAAGCTGGGGTGAAGTGAGAGTAGCATCGACATATATATACTACTGAATGTAAAATAGTTAGCTAGTGGGAAGCAGTCGCGTAGCACAGGGAGATCAGCTCGGTGCCCTGCAATGACCTAGAAGTGTGGGATAGGGAGGATGGGAGGGAGGGAGACGCAAGAGGGAGGGGATATGGGGACATATGTATGCATATGGCTGATTCACTTTGTTGTACAACAGAAATTAACACAGTATTGTGAAGCCATTAGACTCCAATAAAGATCTATCAAAAAATATATATAGTATCTTTCAGGTTGTTTTACTATCTGAAGTTGCTGGAATGCTACTTCACCTGTTTGTTTGAACAGCTAACTAGTCTTTTTTGTTGTTGTTTTATGTTCTTAGCTTCCAAGTTCCAGACCATAAGAACAGTAAGAACTAAGATCCCACACCTAAAAGTTTTAAAGATCTGGGCCTTGATTATCAACCAAAACTTTTCCCTTTCACCTAAGATCCCAGACATTTTACAAGTTCCTAACACCTCCCCAAGTAATGAGTAGTTTTTTCTTGACCGGTGCTGTCAAACTGAACTCTGTGTGATGATGGAAATGTTCTATAATCTGCCTTGACCAATAAGATAGCCACTAGCCACATTAAACACTTGAAATATGGCTAGTGTGAATAAGTAATTATATTTAAAAACTAATTTAAAGTAGTATTATGAGAATAGCGGCCATTATACAGTGCAGTTCCTTACAGTTTATGTAAGGGTTTTAGTCATAGCAATTCTACCTTACATGAGAAGAACACTTTATTATCTCATTCAGGCTTTGGTTTCTCTATTTCTGACACTTTGAGATATATGCTTTTCTTCCTCTTCCTTTTTTCTTTTTTTTTGACATTAAAAAAATTGACATACAGGGCTTCCCCTGGTGGTGCAGTGTCCGCCTGCCGATGCGGGGGACACGGGTTCGTGCCCCAGTCCGGGAGGATCCCACATGCCACGGAGCGGCTGGGCCCGTGAGCCATGGCCACTGGGCCTGTGCTCCACGACGGGAGGGGCTGCGGCGGTGGGAGGCCCGCGTACCGCAAAAATAAATAAATAAATAAGAAAAATTGACATACAATAAACTGTACATATTTAGAATGTACAATTTTCATAAGTTTAAACATATATATACACCTGTGAAACTACCACCAAGGTCAAGATAACAAGCATACCCATCACCTCCAAAAGTTTCCTTAAGTCCCTCTGTGATCCCTCTCTCCTGCCCCTCCCTACACCTACCCTTCCCAGGCAACCACTGATCTTTCTATCATTATAGATTAGTTTGCATTTTCCAGAGTTTTACATAAATTAGAATCAAGCAGTAGGTACATTTTTTGGGGATTTTTTTTTCTCACCGCTTCAAAAATAAGTAAAAGTATTTTGTGATTCACCATGCTGTTGCATTTTATCAACAGTTCATTCTTTCTTACTGCTGAGATAGTATTCCATTGTATAGATGTACCACAATTTGCTTATCTAATCACCTGTTGATGGAAATTTGGGTTGTTTCCCGTTTTGGACCTTTACAAATAAAGCTGCTATCAACATATAAATAGACATATGTTTTCATTCCTCTTGGGTAAATACCTAGGAGTGGAATGGCTGGATCATATGTATGTAGCCGTATGTTTAACTTTTTAAGCCGCCAAACTGTTTTTCCAAGTGCCAGTATTATTTTACATTTTCCCCCAGCAGGGTTGAGAATTCCAAATGCTCCGCTTCCATGATGACATTTGGTGCAGGTGTCTTAATTTTTAGCTATTCTAATAGATGGGTAGTGGCATCCCATGACGGCTTTAATTTGCATGTCCCTGATGTCTACTGATAAAAACTTTTCATGGGCTTTATATGTACGTCCTCTTTGGGGAAGCATCCCTTTAAATATTTTTCCCAATTTTTAAATTGGATTGTTTTCTTATTATTGAGTTCAGAGAATTCTTTACATGCTCTGGATAAAAGTCCTTTATCAGATATATGAATTGCAAGTATCTTCTCCCAATTTGTGGCTCATCTTTTCATTCTCTTAACAGTCTGTCTAATGAGTAGTAGTTTTTAATTTTGTTAAAGTCCAATTTATCAATTTTTTCTTTTATGGATGTGTTTGGTATCTAAGAAATCTTTGCCTAACCCACAGTTGCAAAGGTTTTCTTCTAAGAGGTTATTGTTTTAAGTTTGACATTTAGGTTTATGATTCATTTTGAGCTAGTTGACTAATTGAGATAACCAATGAAACCAAAAGCTGGAGACAGACTAATCAAGAGAAAAAGAGAGAAGACACAAATACCAATATCATGGAAGAAAGAGACACAGCCACACATCCTACAGACATTAAAAAAGAATAAGGGGGCTTCCCTGGTGGCGCAGTGGTTAAGAGTTCGCCTGCTAATGCAGGGGACATGGGTTTGAGCCCTGGTTCGGGAGGATCCCACATGCCGCGGAGCAGCTAAGCCCGTGTGCCACGACTACTGAGCCTGCGCTCTGGCGCCCGCGAGCCACAACTACTGAGCCCACGTGCCGCAACTACTGAAGCCTGTGCGCCTAGAGCCCGTGCTCTGCAATGAGAGAGGCCACCGCAATGAGAAGCCCGTGCACCACAATGAAGAGTAGCCCCCGCTCGCTGCAACTAGAGAAAGCCCACGTGCAGCAACAAAGACCCAATGCAGCCAAAAATGAATAAATAAATAATTTTAAAAAACGAATAAGGAGGGACTTCCCTGGTGGCTCAGTGGTTAGAATCTGCCTGCTAATGCAGCGGACACGGGTTCAACCCCTGGTCCAGGAAGGTCCCACATGCCACGAAGCAACTAAGTCCATGTGCAACAACTACTGAAGCCCGTGCGCCTAGAACCCGTGGCTCCCCAATAAGAGAAGCCACCACAATGAGAAGCCCGCGCACCACAACGAAGAGTAGCCCCTGCTCGCCACCAACTAGAGAAAGCCCGCGTGCAGCAACGAAGACCCAACGCGGTCAAAAATGAGTGAATGAATGAATGAATAAATAAATAAATAAAAGAATATGGAAATGTTATAAAGAACTTTATGCTAATAAATTTGGTGACTTTGGTGAAACAGACAAATTCCTTAGGAAAAACAAATGAGCAAAACTGACTCAAGAATAAATAGAAAACCTCGACAGCTCTGTATCTATTAAAGAAACTGATTTTATAGTTTAAAAACTTCAATAAATTGGACTTTATAAAAATGTAAAACTTCTGTGCCTGTGTACTGGGAGAAAATAATTGCAAAAACACATTTATAATAAAGGACTTGCATCCTAAATATATAAAGAACTATTACAACACAATAACTATTAGGCGACCCTATTAAAAAAAGGGGGGCAAAAGGTTTCAAATAGATTTCAACAAGGAAGATATATAGATAGATGGTAAATAAGCACATGAAAAAATGCCTGCCACCACTGGGCATTAGGGAAATGCAAATTAAAACACAATTTTAATTATGTGTATTTTACCACAATAAAAGACTGTATTATTCTATAATTAATACAGTTAATTTAAAAGAAGGTATTTAAATAAAGAAATGAAATGAGATGTGAGCTAATACTTTTGACTGGAGAAAACCACTCAGTGTTTCTGATAAGGTAAAAAGACAGCTCTGAGATAGTTTTGATTATCTGATTAGATATCATAGCATGTTAATATATTATATTAATTTCTTATTAAGCACACAAAAATGACACACCACTATGTGCCCACTAAAATGGTAAAATTTTAAAAGCTGACAATACCAAGTTTTGAAGAGGATATGGAGCAATTACAGATCTTGGTGGGAATGCAAAATGATACAAACATTTTTAGATACAAATGTTCATAGCAGCTTTATTCTTAACAGCCCAAAACAAGAAAACTGCCCATTAACAAATGAATAAATAAATAAATTTCTGATACACATATTAACATGGATAAATCTCAGAATCACTATGCTGGGTAAAAGAAGCCAGGCACAAAAGATAACATACAGAATGATCCCAATTACATAAAATTCTATAACAGCAAAACTAATCTACAGTAATGAAAAGTCAGTCAGTAGCTGTCTGTGGTGTAGACTGATTGCAAAGGGACATGAGGTAACTTTTTGAGGGTAATGTACATGTTACCTTGATAGGGATGGTAGTTAGATTACATTAAAACATATCAAACCACAAATTCATTATGTGTAAAACTGTATCTCATTAAAGTCGATTAAAATAATTTTTAGATTTTTAAAAAACAATTTCATTTAAGTATAGTTGATTTAAAATGGGAATTTTTAGATTTCTAATTCCAGTTCCCATGGTCTTTGCACTCAATTACTGTAAGTTATATTTTGGTAATTTATATAGACTTAGGGCAATTTGACCACATATAAAAGGGAAAGGACTCCCTAGGGCTCATGGAACCCTCAAGTGACTATAACATATGGCTCTGATTTACCTGTCACTATAGAGTTTTAGAAGGTGAAAGCAGACATCTTGAAGGGGTCTCTGTGAGTCTTGCTCCTCCTCTACCACAAAGCCAGAGTCCTCCAGGTATGAGGGAAGTGGGCAGCAGGCGTATCTGTCACCCTCAGAGGTATTCTGAAGTTAAGAATTTGATAAAACAATACATCAGCTGCTAGTATGTTTCACTAGATTCTACTGTGTCTCAGTTACTCAGATGTGTATTAAGAATGGTGCGACATCCTCTAAAGGAGTGTTTCAAGGATTTTAAACTTATTTTGATCAGTGACATAGTCCACCTGCCTTCAGTGGACTGGCAAAGACCTCAGACAGCTCTAACCCCACCACCTTTCTTGCCACAATTCTTATTACACTCAATTTTTTTTAGTGTTCTCTTTTTCCTGACAAATACTGATAATTCTGGCAACTGATATCAAAGACAATAAAAATGAACAGTAAGAGAAGAACCAAATAATGGCATTAAAAACATTAATAATCCTTTAACCTCCAAATGGACAAGGAATATGATATATAGTGATATTTAGAGGCAAATTTCAGACCTGCTAATTTGGGGCTATACTAAACACGAGGTCAGGCTGTATCTCAGGGAATTCCTGAAGGAATAAGACAGCATTAGGAATGAAGAAAAACCCTCCAATGTTGAGGCAGGAAAACAGCAGTAAGAAAATAAATTGTGGAAACTCATCGTATTAAACAAAATAGAAGCAGAAACTTGAAGAAGTTTCCCATCAGATTTCCTGTGTCCATTTCAATTCTATGGTACTTTTCCAAAAGCAGTTAGGAAAAAGTATTATGAAATGTGATTTGATGGTTTTTTCTCTGTAGTACTTTTCTGGCAAAAACAGAAATCCTACCAGGACTCTTTTGTTTGGCTATACTGGATACATATACCTGAAATGCTTCTTCATACATGCTGAGTGCCTTGGAAATGGAGGCTGTTGGTGGGAGCAAATACCAAAGATGGATAGCCAGGGACCTTTTCCAATCCAACTGTGAGCACACATTGATTTGCTTCTGCTCTGAGAGCTGCCATACCTACAGGAGACAAAATCACCATCACAGCTCTAAATTATACATTACCTTGTTACTGGCCAGGCCTGCACGTTGCTCACTTACTCAAGTTGATTCTAAATGATTTAAATAGCAGTGTTAATGATCCAGATATAAAATACACAGTCCCTTTGTAGCAGGTGATAGGGTGGACTTAGACAGTAAGTGCTGAGAAGAGGTGAGAACCACTCATTGACCACAGCTGCCAACTTTAAGATGTGAATAAATTCTGATCAGTGATTTCATTTTTGGAAATTGACTTTAGGATGGCAAGCAAAATGGATAGGCAGCAAGAAAACTGGCTTAAAGTAATTATGATACATCATTCATAAAATGGAAGAGAAGTGGCTATTAAAAAAAGAGAGGCCACACAACATGAAAAATGATCATATTCAGTAAGTTAAAAAAAAGGTTGCAGAACTGCTACATATAATTCATTTTATTTGAATATATAACAAGTGTAAATATGCACACATATATGTCAAAACAGACTTAAAATATGTCTAGAAAGACAGACAATGAATTATGTTGTTTATCACTATGATATGGGATATGGTGAATTTTAACATTTTAATTTCTATATAACCAGTATTTCTTCCCCACAATATTTTAAAATTTGAAAATATTTCTGCTGAAAGTTAAATACAAGTTGCTTAGTTATATGTAATAGTGTACAATTTACAAAGATAGCTCTTTGCCTTAACCTCAAGCAATCCTGAATCTATGAGAAAATTTATGTAAGTTTATGAGAAAAGAGAAAAATACCGGTTTTCCAGCCAAGAGGGCAAAGATACGCAGTCTCTCCTCCTCGATGAAACTGTCAGCCTGGAGCTGATGCCAATCTGCCAGCTGCATAGTAAGCAGCTCCCGGACCGACTGGCTGCCAACCAACTGGGATAAAAGAAGGGCAAGACGATGATCACCTACAAGAGAAACAGTTCTCTGGTGATACTGAGAATTTATAGACTTGGGAAAACACTTGGGGGCATTATTTTGTTTCTTCTGGCCCTCAAGAAACACCTCTGACTGCTCTCTGCAGGAGTGCTAAAATACTGATCAAGAACTTAACGTTTTTGGCTTGGGTAGAAAACCTTCAAAGTATTGTAGCTTAAACTAATTACATATAGATTATATAGTACACAGAGTTCAGTGTCAGATCTACTATTATTTCTGTGACCCTACACAAGGCACCTCATCTGTAAAATGGAGGGAAGTATCATTTGATTCAAAGGTCTATAGTGAAAACTGAGATGACATAACTGTAAACATGCCCAACTAGCAGGTACTATATAATGACACTGAGAAATGGCAAACTCAAACCTAGAGGAAAAACAAATGTATGATATAAAGAAAATGGTTGAGTTTTTCACTCTCTAGAGTCCAGTATCTCTTTTAATAAAAAATTTTAAGTACAAAGGCTTGAGGCAATAAAAAAATTCTAGGGACTTTCCTGGTGGCGCAGTGGTTAAGAATCGGACCGTCAATTCAGGGGACATGGGTTCAAGCCCTGGTCCAGGAAGATCCCACATGCCACGGAGCAACTAAGCCCGCGCACCTCAACTACTCAGCCTGCGCTCTAGAGCCTGCAAGCCTCAACTACTGAGGCCCGTGCGCGTGCTTAGAGCCCATGCTCCACGACGAGAAGCCACTGTAATAAGAAGCCCGTGCACCGCGACGAAGAGTAGCCCCTGCTCACAGCAACTAGAGAAAGCCCACACGCAGCAACGAAGACCCAACACAGCCAAAAAATAAATAAATAGATAGATAGATAAATAAAATTTATCTAAGGTTATAAAAGGAAAACTGGAAGACAGAGTCCCTACCTATCCTGGAGGAACCGGCGATCTTCCTGGGAAGTTTATACTTAACATTCAGGTTAGAAGACAAGGGCAAACGCGCGATTAAGGGGTAGGGACAGTGAGTAGGAAGTAGGCAGGGGTGCAGAGAAGGACGGTATGCCCCACCTGACTGCTGGGCCAGGGAGCAGGCCTCACTGATCCTCTTGCCCGTGAGGTAGCTGAAGACAGCCTCCACAGGGTTGTCTTTTCGGGTTAAGGAGACTTCCTCCTCAATTTGAGGTGCAGCTGTATGGGACAGCCAGCGAGAGAAAGCTCTTCTTCGCTCCAGAATCTGAATGTATTCAGTGGGCTCATCCAGCTGGCTGTCAAGCTCCTTCAGGTGGCCCCATAGAGCTTCACATAATGTCCACGTTAGGCTCCAGTGCTTCACAACTAAGGAAGGGACAGGAAAATAATGCAATGACATTAAGCCATACAATAACTACAGAGAGGGGATCACTTCAATGTGGCATTAAAAATACATAAATTAATAAATACCCCAAACAACAACTCAAGTTGATTTCCCTGAATCTGTCTCCACCTCACTCACCTGTGTCTTACAAGCTCCAGAGGTGTGTGGTATTGCCTGCTCACTCCATGTATCCATGGTACTTACATAACAAATGTAACTCCAGGCTCCTTTAAACAGGTTCCTCTAGCCTAATTATGGCTACATATAGTCTCAAATGATACAGAAAAATCCTCTAATTTGATCAAATTCTGTTCAAAAAATGCTTTAAGAAATATAAAGTGCTCTGAAAACTTGTGAGGGATTATTATCTGCTATAGGCACAGCCTAACATTTTAGTGAGCCTAAATGATACTGTTCAAAGCACTCAGGAGTAAACCAACTCTCATCTACACAATATAACTATACAATAGTTACCACCTTCATTTTACAGATGAAGAAACTGAGGTACAGATCATTAAGTGACTTGCTCAAGGTTACAGGCAAGATGTAACAGAGCCAGGATTCAAACTCAAGTACTCAGAGTCCAACTCTATACTCTTAACCACTAATGCTATATTGCCGCTCACAAAGGAAAACAAAGCACTGTTTACCACCTTAAGCTACTTACAAGTATGCATTGGGAAGATGACTCACATATTTGAAGAGAGAAGACAACTACAGCAAACACAAAGAAATGAACATAAACAATTCCCAAAACGTGTGGTATGGAACATTCTAATAGTCCCCATTTTTCAGTAAAAGTGACGGGAAATGTTGTGTGAAACATGTAATTTTTCTACTTGAAATAGTAAGTGCCCAAATTAGAAAAGCCCTTTATGGAAGTACTGGTTCAGAAAAACATGATCAGAATCATTATAGAGAGGTAATAGTGAGAGAAGTCAGGAAGGGAAGTTATAACCACCAAAGTTGCTGGGAAGAACAAGTGGGACTTGAGCTGGACATGGAAGAATGGGTAGGACTTAGGTAGGATCTCTCGCCTGCTATGTTCTCCGGGTGGGGTAAGGGATCTAATTTTATAAGCCCACGGGATGTGACTGGCTACAGTTCCTTTGAACAGTGGCCTAAGAGTAATGATAAACAATGATGTGATTTCTTCCTGCTTGAGATTTTGCTCATCCCAACTCAACTACAGATAAGTGTAAGCTCAGGCATCCACCACTACATTGGCACAAGGAAACTGTGTCCTCCTATGAACATATGCTCCTACTCCTGTTCCTGGGGCATCAAGGGTTAGAAGTATAGTCCATACTTACTTTGTGGTTCCAGTAAGTCTCCTGATGCTTCCTTAACCCAATCTGCATAGTCATGAATGATAGCAACTCCCGGATTGGGGACAATGAGAGGACACAGCTCATCCACATGGACAGTGCTATGTTTTAATTTAAGCTCCAGAGATGTCTGGTATAATTGCAGGTCTTCATCCAGCTTCTTTTGCCTCAAACTGAGTTTTTCCAAATGAACTTTGAATGGAGACTCAGTTAGGCTACAAGAGAAAATAACAAATAAGAAAAGACAGATGGTAGAATTTTCCTACAATGAAACCTTTGTTTCTTTTTATAATTACAAAATAGGACACAAAACATTCCACTTTGATTTTAAAGAAAATTTGTTTCTTAATATCAAACTATAATGAACTTATTTGATATATATTGAGCAAATTACCTGACCCATGCATTCAGAATCCCAAGGTTTAAAAAAAAAAAAGAATCCCAAGCCTTCTCAGGCCAGATTATAATAGGCATAGGAGTCAGTACAATTAGACCTGGAAATGGCTCTGCATGTATATGGATACTATGAAATCCAACGGTCAAAAGCTACTGTGGGACACCCGTTTCTCAAACCACACTTAACTCATTATGAGTTATCAGTATCAAAAGTCATGAGGCTAAGCTTACAGATACTAAAGAAGTGACTCTCAATTAAGATCAGCATACAGTTGAGCAGCCTTGATCCAATTTTTAGGACTGACATTAACAATCTCTAAAATATCATGATATCATGGATAACCTGGGTTTAGGATCAATATTCCTAATTGTGAGGTACAAGAGATGCTGTTGATTTTTTATTTCTTCAAAATCAACTTTAAAAACTAATAATAATAGGTGATCATAGTCACAATCTGTAGTAAAGATAGCGGTTTGTTACAATTATGAAAAGTAAATTAAAAAAGTTACAAATTTTACAAAAAACTGTATGCATACTACGTAATGACTACCAGAACACTATACATATTTTTATATATATATATATAAAATCAGTACGGTAATATATAGTATATAAAGTATATACAGAACTATAATCATACATATGTAAATATTAATGGTGGGAACTGTGTAGAGATATATAACATGTATAATTATCAGATGTCATCTTATTTCCAAATACTTGTGTATGGATTATCCACAGTTCATACATTTACCTTATTAAGTCTAAGACACAGGGAATGTGCTTTAATGAGAATATACCTTACTTATGAAGATATTACCAATATCTAAGTGAGAAAATAGAAAAATGACTAATGCAATAAAAAGGATGAAAACTCAAGGAATGCTGCAGCATTAGCTTTGAGTCTGTTACTTTTCCACCTAAAGTTTAACCATTAGATAACTATTCCATACTCTTCATACCTTGATGGTACAAATGGAGCTATTAATCATTTTAGCTTTTAATTATACAAATAAAATTGTGCTAAGAATATATCTAGAAAGATCACAAAGCAGGGCCCTGAACATGGGTCTCCTGGTGATGAAAAGCTTTTTCTCACCTACCACGTTGCCCTTCTCAAAAAGCATAAGAATACGTGACTCACGATTTAACAGCTACTGGATTAGGCAGGAATCCATATTCCATAGAATCAGCAATCTGATGATTTTCCAGTTCCTGAGGGCCACTCAGCTGTTCTCCACTATTAGCAAGAGTCCAGTTAGGGCCCCAACCAACCCGAAATGAGCGTCCCATAAATAGGGCCAGGTCCATCAGGAGTTTCCCCTTTCCATAGGTGACAGACTTTTCAAGAGGGACTAGGCCTGGTTGTCTGCGTGTACCCACTGTTTTCAACTGAACCTCAGGGGCTGGGCTGGGCACCGTAAACACAGAGGTCAGGGGTGGAGGGACAGACCAAGGGGATGTGGATGGAATATTCATCAATGACGATGTTCTGGGAGTGCGACACTCTTGTAAAGAGGCACTTGGTGAAAGAAAAGTTCCACTTGCAAATTTTGATTGTAGTAACCCACCTACTAAAATAAGGAAAAAAAAAAAGACTATTAGAAAATACAGTCTATTGATTCTTGAACAACAACAACCATCAAGGCTGAAATTATAGTTTTATTAAGCTACTTAAATCACATATAGATGACCAGGAGTAGCTTATATCAGACTCTACAGAAATTCCTCTTTCACACAGGAAATCAAGGCAGGAATTCTAATGATGATGATGTCACCAACAATAACAACATTAATAACACAACTACTACTACTACTACTACTACTATTTAAAAAAACTATCTAGCACTTATCTGCAGCAGACTCTATATAAGCCATTTATATACACTGTTTCATTTCATCCTTCAATAACTTTAAATGAAGAACATTACAGTCCTCACTTTATAGATGGGAAAACTGGGCTCAGTTAAGTGACTTGTCCAAATCCACAAAGCTACTAAGTGGCAGAACTAAGAGATAAACCCAGCTAAGTCTGACACCAATACGCATGCCCTTATCAGAATGCCAAATGTAACCTTTCTTAGTCAATATAAAAAGTTGGTAAGATCAAAAGTCAAATTCATACCACTCCAGTGCTCAATGTCAGACTTAAAGACAACAGAAACCTATCTGTGATTGCATATATGCCTTTCAGAGGCATCTTGTGATTGCATATATGCCTTTCAGAAGGATAGTTCTTGTTATTTTTGCCTGTTTTCCAATTTTATGTATTTCCTGTCTAAAGCAAGGACTTAGTTACTGAAGTATGAGATTTTCATGTAGTGTTCATTATGGAAAAGCTTGCTATAAATGTTTAACTGATGCTTTATTAAAGTATTTTTAAAAAGGAAAGTTAACTAGGGTACTCAAAAAAATTGAAAAATAAACATTTAGTTTTTTGTTTTTGTTTTTTTTTTGGTACGCGGGCCTCTCCCGTTGTGGAGCACAGGCTCCGGACGCGCAGGCTCAGCGGCCATGGCTCATGGGTCCAGCTGCTCCACGGCATGTGGGATCTTCCCGGACTGGGGCACGAACCTGTGTCCCCTGCATCGGAAGGCAGACTCTCAACCACTGCGCCACCAGGGAAGCCCAAAAATTTAGTTTTTAAGGCAATATAACAAATATCTTCCTGGTAGTTCCTCTGGCTTTCAAACCGTTTTGAAATTACACCTGCTGAACTCCTCTGTTGATATCAATACTCTACCTCCAATCCCACATAGTTACAAGCCCACTAGAAGAGATAAGAAAAGCTTTAAAATGCACAGGCAACTGCTGTCCTGGGCATTTGGGAAGGTTTAGGGAAAGGTAGAAATCTGAAAAGCTTTGCACATTATAAGAAGCAACATTTGCCCCTAGAAAGCAATAAGGATAGTGTTAGAACTGCACAAAAAGAGTACAGAGCAAGACAACTTGCTGATTCCTCTAAGGTATGATAAAAATTAGGAAATCTGAGTTTACTATCTAACCCACACTCATAAGCAAATAAAAACATGCCCCCCAACAAAACAAATGCTTTTTTTCTCCATACAACTTCTGCATCTGCACCAGTGACCATGTTTTTTAAAAACTGGCCCCACCTAACAGGTACATTTATAAGAGTACATTTCTGCTTGGCATCATTATGTCATATGCCTTTAGGGAGTTGTTTGCTAGAGAAGTCAACTCAGCTTAGAAGAAGATATGTGAAAAGCCAGACTTTACAGCTTTCTTGCAAAAGAGCATCTTTTACAGTACCTAATGAACGGGATTTTGATGAGTGAGTTGCTGAAATGGGGAGCCTGGGAGAACAGATTTCTTGAGACGTATCTGCTTTAGAAGGAAGGCGACTGAAGCGTTGATCCAGGACCATATCTACATCTTCTTCATCAGCAAGCAATGATGCTTTCATGATCTAAAAAGGCAATATCTATAGAATGAATGTGCTCCCCCAAATCCAAAGGCCATAAAAGAAAAATGCAGTTTACAACGACCAATTTTTTAAAAAGCTCTGTCTCAGGCTGTGTCCAGAGCTAGTATAATATTTGTGTGACTCTGTTCCACTGTATGTGCCTGAAGGACAGAAGTTATATAAAACTCCTCTGCTTTGTATATACAGTCTCACCAGAGGCTGGCACACAGCAGGTGCTCACATGTCTGCTGAATGAATTAATTTCAAAGTCAAATATAAGTCAAAGGCTAAATTCATAATATGACAAAAGGCACAGGCGGGGGGAAGTTGAGACAGAGCTTAAAGAAACTTGTAACTACAATTTTAAAAAAAGAAAAAAAAAAAAAAGGAACAAACAAAACTCCTGTGGAGCACTTTCCAGAGCTTCAAAACCTCTCTGTAAAGTAAATGAAATTAATATTTTATAGTGCTCACATTAAATGACTTGCCTAAAGTCACACAGTAACAGTTACAAAACTGGGGTTAGAATCCAGATCTTCTGAATCTCACTATAGCCTTCCTCCCACGAATGGGAAAATGATGCCTAAACATGGGCCATATTCCTGGTTTTTCTCATTCCAGCGACCACTCAACGCTCTTAAGTGATTAATGAAAGAAAAAGCCTGATGTTATGAAGGGAAGATAAATATTAGTTTGGATTCCTGTTGTAGTAAGGGTGGGTTAGGACTTCACCTGTAAGACATGTGGATTAATTCCCAGTGAAGATGCAATGTGTGTTGAGGCAGACACAGGTTCCTGATCCTCAGGCACGCTCTCTTCTAACATGGAATCCAAAACTGGCTCCTGGGTGATATCTATCATGTCACTGTCCAGTTCCACAACCCTCCCTAACTGCTCCACCTCTGGGCTCTGGCTCTGTAGACAGCAGAAAGATCAGGGAAGCAGCATTAAACGACACCAAATAGACACAAAGCTTCTAGACCATATTTACTTTATTCAAAATATGATACAACAATATTAGATTCTGCCCATTCCATCATAATGTGAGGTAGCATATTTGCTAAAGAGGATTTAAAAATTACCCCAAAATTCCTCTATTAGTACTTGGGATCCAAATGAGGATTCATGGAATCACCCTTTTGTAATATTATGGTCTGGAGCCTGGAACCTAAGCCAGCACCCATACTGAACATATGGTCTTCTTGAGACAAAGATTATGCCTTACTTGATTTAGTTAGCAACTATAATTTTCTGATTTATACAGGGTTACCCTTCCCTCACATTCCTTGCAGTCAGAAGCCATTGGGAAAAGAGAATAAAAGATACAAATATCAAAGTCTCCAGTAACTCTGCATTTTCTTAAAGAAAACATTTAGACATAAATTTCTAGTTATCACAAACACAATTTTGGGCCTGGAATTTATCTTTCAGGAGACTGAATCCTAAGGTTAGCTGGGCTCTACCTGTGCAGTATCATATCAGATGACGAACGTGTACTCTAATTTCCCAAAAGAAAAAACAAAGTTCTATTAGGAACAATTTTTATCTGGGAATAATTCCTTTATGTTTAAATGTGTCAAGAGTTAGATTTACATTTATTAAGCAGTTTTAAAGATACAGCCATGATTAACAGTCTATGGTTTGAAAAGGTAAACATTCATAAAGCTGAAACACACTGTAAAATTGGCTCAGTGCAAATTCATTAAATATGTCCTAAACTTGCATATGACCTGGTTAAAATGTTAACAAGCGGCTAAGCCAATTTACGAAACATTCTCAAATCTAAAAGTTCTTCCAATTAGTTTTCTTCCATAATCTCATCTGTAGATTACTAACCTTCCACAATTTTTGGCTTATCTTTCATGAGTGGCCTATTTCATGCTAAACTTCAAATGGATGCTATTGTACAATAGGTGGTTAAAAAAAAAAGTTTCATGATTTCTTTGAACCAAGAAACAACCATTAGCATAACTTTTTAAACTTTAAACTTTTCAATGGTATATTATCTATTACTCCCCTGAATTCCTTTAACAAATATCCTTACTAAAAGAATGACTATTTCCATCTATAACTGTAGAAAAGTTGAGGTGTTGGAAACGTGGTGAACTGCCACTTAAGTTGTGAACAATCCCCAAGGACTGCTCTAACAAACTGGAGGCTAGATAAATAATGGTTAAAAGACAAAATGATACTATTTTTTACCTATTGGAGAGGCTACAGGCAGGTCTAACTACTTTTACGTTTTAAAATTCTGGAAAAAAATTAAAAGCAGCCCTGGTGGTGATCCTCCCATTATAATTACATGAATCATGGGAACACTCCAATGCCCTCTGGTCTGTTAACTTTTAACCAATTCACTTTAGGAATAGTTCTGAAATTCCCCATCCTCTGTCAGCCTGTCAGGATACCCTCTTCTGCTGGGCTCCCATAACACCTTGTCTATACCTATTTTATACACTGTATCATGGTATAATTCCTTGTGTGTGTGTGTACACACACACACACACACACACACATATATATATATTTGACCCACCAGATTGTGAAGGCTTGAAAGTAGAGATTATAGCCTACTATTTTCTGTATCTAGCGCCAAGCACATTGTTAAATTCACCAAAACACTTTGTTATTTCTACTGGCTAATGCAGTGTCTGCCACGCAGTAGAAAAAGCTAATACCTATGAAAGATAAGGAGCGAGTATAGGTGCGAGGAAAGGAAGGAGGAGGAGGGTTTCAATTTACTATACTATTCAACAAAGGAATAACAGTGACAGCAACAGATGCTCACTTAGAACACTTTTAGGCAGTGGCAGGATTTCATCAAGTAACTAGATTAGAGACCTAAGGGACTCAGCCTATCTTTAAGAAAGCTAAGGATCAAGGTTTTATTTGTTTCATCCTCATGCATAGACTTCAAAGCTACTGTCATCTAATAAGTGGACAGGGCGAAGTGAATTTGAAACTATGAGGACCTGGTAAACTCCTAGAAACCCCATGTGTGGATTTCATTTAAGTATATCTAAGTAATTTCAACAAACTACCCCAACAGATGTTATTTTCAGAGAAATCTTGGGAGATCAGGTGCTTCCTCAAAGCCAGTACTAGAAAGAAAAGTAGACAATAAAAAAATTGGTGACACAGAAGGACCTGAGTAAGGAAAGAAGGGGGTAAAAAAAAAAAGAAGCCCATCAAATACTAAGTAAACAGACAAGATCTACAAAATGACTCTATTTAGATATATGGAGGGTGATGTTTCACAACTGAAACCTTTAATGTTTTTAGAAACCTCCACTCTCCAGCTCAAAAGAATCTTCCTCATGTAAACAATACCCTAAAGATACAGCATCTCTTAATCCAATAAATAAAGTAATGCAATGAAGTTAAATCAAGATACCCTTATTCAACAAAGGGTAAATATCCAATCCAAGGTCAAATCCATGTTTAAATAATTCATATTGTTCTCCCAGCCAAATAGCCTAATCCAGTATATAAGTACTACTATTGCCTGCCTCCAACTCGTTTTCTAACAGCAAAGAATGTTTCATATTCATTTTGCTGGAAAATCAGCCCTGTCAACAATACTGCGTTCAAGAGCAATCCCATGTCAGGGTTACAAGGGCCCATGAAAGTGTGCATGTTTCTACACATACATTCACGGATATTACTGCAGGAGGCATAGGATTCAATAACATGAATATCTGAAAAAGGCTTGTGGCTATAGAATTATTTTATATATAACATGTATAAATTACATAAAATATAAATTAAAATATATATTGATTCACTGGCTAAATTTAGATACCTGCCACTTTTTAAAACAAGTAAACACAAGATAAAATGGAACTTTCTTCTAAGTTCTAATCACTTTTTCCTTTAAAAAACTTTTAAAGTTATTTGAATGTACTCACCAAGTAAACAATGCTAAGTTTCTGAGCAAGTCAACTAGTGTGTCTTGATGGTACTGAACACAAGTTACATTTCAGTATAAGGCTTAGGAAAAAGCTACATGTCTCTCTACATCACTGCTGAAGATCTGAAGCCTTTTGACAGTTTCGAAACGAGGCTACATATCTCAATCACTTGGGGGAAAGCATTTAAAATATAAATGTGCCTGAGCCCCAATGCCAGATACATGGGCTCTCCAAGATATTGATGCAGTTGGCTGAAAATTGGGTCTTAGATCAGCATTTTAGAATAAATGTTCTAACTACCAAACAAATGTTTCTGTAACTGCCCTAATTCACCTGTGATGAAGGGTTTTCTGCCAACATTTTCTCTAACTTAAAAGGCATAGAGAGGGAGTTCCCTGGTGGCCTAGTGGTTAGGATTTGGTGCTTGCACTGCTGTGGCCGGGGTTCAATCCCTGGTCGGGGAACTGTTATCCCACAAGCCATTCAGCGCAGCCAAAAAAAAGGCATAGAGGAGAAGATTACATAAAATATAGTTACCTTTCTGTTTTCTGGTTGCTTAGATTCACTTGCTGTTTTAGGAGCAAAGCAAGGTTTAAGAACGAACTGCAAAGACAGGACTGAGGATATTATACAAAAGATAGTAGAATAAATGTAACCATTAAACAAAACTATATATCTTCCTAATGCCTTAAGGACAACCCCCCCCCCCCAGCTAAAGTCAGAGAACCTGAGATTGTGTACAGTGGGGGAAAGAAAGCTACAGCAGACTGAAGGAACACCATATCACGGAAATCAACCCCTCCAGGGAGCCAGGTGACAATGTGAAGACAGTCATCTTGACACTGGGATGAGAAGACTGTGCTGTTTCCAGTTTATTCAGATGGCTCAAGTATTTTCCTCATGCCAAGTAAAATGTAGGTCCTGCTGCTAATAACTCAAAAAACTGTGCAACCACTGGCATTTCCCCTAACCTCACTTAGGGCACTACACTGGGCATTACACCTCACTGGGCATTACAAAGAGTTCTCCAAAGTCCCCTGTTAGTGTTCTAACACATTAGCCTAAATGTCTAAATAAGTCTACCCATTTCTCCCTTCTGCATCCAAAAGGTCAAAGATGGCCCACTTTCTCAATCAAAGGAGATATCTGAATAAGATACCTATTCACTATATTCTCTTTGCCCATCTTGATCCTTACCACCTCTCCTTTTCCTAGAACCTTCTCCTGAAATTTTTTGGTGCTCAGTTTTTCAAAAGAACTCTCTCACCTACTGTAGTGCCATCACAGGAATTTATTGTTATCTCTTACTATTTGTATTCTGGAAATTAAAGAGCCTAGAAACCACTGATGGTCAACATTACATAAATTTGCTCTACCTGTCCAAAAGATGAAGCTTTTCTTTTTCAGCTGTATCTTTAAGGAGCCTACATATTACTTTTATTGGCAGAAAAGAAGGCTATCTGACTCTTATCCAAAGAAATACATATACAGTATACTGCAAGACTGGAAAGAGAGATTATACAAAGCATATGATTCAGACAAAATGAATGTGGGTAACTGGAAAACCAAGTCCATTTACAGCATTTCTTTAGTTCAGAAGAGATGTATTCTAAATAGAGGGGTATTCTAAAGGCTAAAATTATAAACATAAAAGTCAACATATTTCCCATTTCCCACTTGTATCATACCCTCCCCCTCACCCTGTACGCGCAAACGTGAACATATATACACAAAAGTCTCCAAAGTGCCTCCCAAGAAATTATTTAATCAATCATAAAAATCGCACATTTCAGCAGCCTTCAGCATTAAGAATTGTAGCATGGAAAATTCCAAAGGTCCTGCTTTTAGCAGCTGAGAGGTAGAGGATGCTTTACAAAGACATTTTATATCAAGTTCTCTTCTTTGAGATGAGTATGGCAGCACAGAAAAAAACTGTTATAACCTGATTGAATATAAACAACATCCAAATGAAAGTAAAACTCCCTTATGATTTGGCAAAGAAACTACCTGATATTTAAATTACAAACCTTTCCTTACAAGGACAAAAGGTTTATACTGGCTTAACAATACTGAAAAAGAGTGTGGTACAGGTAATTGCAATAAATGATGTAGCCCCTACTCTCCCCAAGCCAACAATTCATTTGTATTCTAAAGCTTTATGTATTTTCATAAAGATTATGTATTGTCAAAATACAAATATCAAGAGATTACCTGAAGTATAAGCAAACAACTTGAGAAAAATGGAGTTAAAAACCCTTGCAGAAAGCTAACCTGAACTTTTAAAAAAACCATGGAGGTAAAGAATAAGATTAAACTGCACATTAGGTAGTCAACAGAAGTCGGGTTTACTCTGCATCAACCCACACAAGCAAAATACTATCTTAAGTTGATCACTGAGCAGAGAATTCAGCAAGTCCAAATGAAGAGAGAGGGAGGTGTTTAAGAATGACAATCTGTAGAAGGAATGATCCAAACAGCAAGAGAATTCTTTGAATCTCTCAAGTAAACAACAGATGCCAGTACCACCTCATGCCCTCCCTTGTAATTGTCTTAACATGATTGCCAATACATTTGTACTCTTCAAAGTTCCGGGGTCATAAAACAGCTTTGTACTAGCTGAATGACTTGCTTTCAACGTCTGTATCATGGACTCCATTCAAATTCATTGTCCCGTCTCTACCTGGGGCGGAGGTGCTGGTTTGCCATTAAGAGCCATCTGGAATGGGGTGGCCTGGCCTGCAGGAGGTAAAGGGGCAGTCTTCAACTTCTTTGTACTAGTTTTGGATGGCCGTTCCTCCTCCTCTTCATCAGAATCCTGAAGGCCATACTTAGAAAAATGAGAGACCTAAGGAAGAGAAGAACCCAACAAAATCACTTTTAACACTGTTATATTCAGAAGGGCTTCCATTATACTTGCCCTTGCAATCTTACAGAATTAGCTTCAAAAAAAAAAAAAGAGAGATCAAAATATTTAAAGCACAATGTCACATATCATACTTTACTGTTTTTTTCTACGATTTAGATAATGTTTGGTGCGTGTACTATTAATACAGGAAACCAAATCCAGAAGAGTCATTACTATTTTCGGTATATATGTATATACTGTGTGCGTGCGCGTGCATGCGCGTGTGTGTGGGTATGTACTGCCTAGTTGTTCCCTACCTACACAAGGGCCTTCGACAAGCTAAATAATCCAACTGGTCTAGAAGAGAAAGAATCCACTGGACTAAACTATTAAGGAAGGGAGGAAGTCAACCTCTACATACCCAGAAACCTTTAAAAGAATAAAAATTATTTAGGAAGAGGTGATCTATCAAGAGACAAAAATTCTGCCTGATGTTCCCAATGATGTCACAAATTAGAAAAACACACCATAGAAGTATATCTAAATGGTCATAAGATGGGGCGTAGAACTTGAATCATGTGCTCAAAAAGTTTATAATAGCTCCTTACTGCTCTGGGGTTTAATGAGATGTGTAATTTGAAGCAAATTATGATGTATCTCTATATCTATTTCCTAATTTGTAGAAACAGAATTTAAAAAAGGATCTCTTCTAACACAGTTTATAACTACAGTTTATAAGAACTAGGTTAAATGACTATACCTTATAAAAAAAAAAAAAGACTATACCTTAAATACCCAAGAACCAGTTTCAGGACGGTACTCTTTGAACTGAGCTCCCTGTTTCCTTGAAACTGCTTCCAATCTTCCCTCATAGTTGATATCAGCAAGTCGATCTGGGCTCTTTATTAAACAACGAGATGTTTTATCTGTTGGCCAAACTCCATCCAATGTAACTTCAGCCTTCCTGTAATGTACAATCAAGTAAAGTGTAAATGTTTCATATCTATGACCAGAAAGCCAAGTAACACATATATACACAGCAAATAAAGGTACCTGTGTTACTGTGGAATTATTCTGCAGGTGTTTCATAAACTTGAGTCTTGGCTCCTAAGGTAGATGGACTTAAGAGTAAGGAATTACCCCCGCATCAACTAGCTAAATATCTGGTTCAAGAGTGTCAAACCCCACTTACTTCAAACTACCATGGTACATCAATTATTTCCAATCCGATTTTTTAGTAAATTTATTTATTTATTTATTTATCTTGGGCTGCGTTGGGTCTTCATTGCTGCGTGCGGGCTTTTCTCTAGTCGTGGTGAGCGGGGGCTACTCTTCGTTGCGGTGCGCGGGCTTCTCATTGTGGTGGCTTCTCTTGTTGCAGAGCATGGGCTCTAGACATGCAGGCTTCAGTAGTTGTGGCTCACAGGCTCTGGAGTGCAGGCTCAGTAGTTGCAGCGCATGGGCTTAGCTGCTCCACAGCATGTGGGATCTTCCTGGACCAGAGCTCAAACCTGTGTCCCCTGCATTGGCAGGCGGATTCTCAACCACTGCGCCACCAGGGAAGCCCCTCCAATCCGATTTTTTTTTTTTTTAATGGACGGGGGCGGGGGTGCGGGGGGAGCCTGCATTAGGTCTTCATTACTGTGCTGGGGTTTTCTCTAGTTGCAGGGGGCTACTCTTTGCTGAGGTGGCTTCTCTTGCTGCGGAGCACGGGCTCTAGGCATGCGGGCTTCAGTAGTTGCAGCACGTGGGCTCAGTAGTTGTTGCACATGGGCTTAGTTGCTCCGTGGCGTGTGGGATGTTCCTGGACCAGGGATTGAACCCGTGTCACCCACATTGGCAGGCGGATTCTCTTTTAATTTTATTTATTTATTTATTTATTTATTGTCTGTGTTGGGTCTTCGTTGCTGTGCGTGGGCTTTCTCTAGTTGCGGTGAGTGGGGGCTACTCTTTGCTGTGGTGCGCAGGCTTCTTGTTGTGGTGTGCAGGCTTTTCATTGCGGTGATTTCTCATTGCGGAGCACGGGCTTCAGTAGTTGTGGCACACGGGCTCTAGAGCCCAGGCTCAGTAGTTGTGGTGCATGGGCTTAGTTGCTCCGCAGCATGTGGGATCTTCCTGGGCCAGGGCTCGAACCCATGTCCCCTACATTGGCAGGTGGATTCTTAACCACTGTGGCAGGCAGATTCTTAACCACTGTGCCACCAGGATCCCCAATCTGATTTTAGTAACACTTAAGCTATGCATCCTTGACCAAGTCCAGTGTTAATAGTCCAGTGCAAAGACCTAAGTCTTAGTGAAGGTCTTAAAAGTGTTATTGTACATAACAACAACAGTAATAATAGCAGCAACTACCATTAACAACGAATGCCTGCAGAATGAGGTATCAGGAACATCACAGTATTAACCATTAAATAATGAGTGTGAATTAATGATAATAATGGTAATGTAATCCTTCTAATAGCAATATTTGAGATCAAGGACTGTGTCCTATTCATCCAGTATGCCTTGCATTTAGCACAGTGATTACCACATAATAATAGATGACTGTTTTTTGATGACTTTTTCTAACATTAATTTTTATTGTGGTTAAAAAGGTATAACAAAAGTTATCATCACCATTCTACTGTCTTGTTTCTATGAATCTGACTCTCTACATGCCTCAAATAAGTTGACTCATACATTATTTGTCTTTCTGCAAGCAACTGGCTTATTTCACTTAGTATAATGTCCTGAAGGTTCATCCGTTCCGTAGCATGTGTCAAAGTTTCCTTCCTTTTTAAGGCTAAATAATATTCCACTGTGTGTACATACATTTTGTTTATTCACGGACACTTGGGTTTCTTCTACCTCTTGGCTATTATGAACAGTGCTGCTATGAATATGGGTGTGCACATATTTTTTCAAGACTCTATTTTTCAATTCTTTTGGATATATACTCAGAATTAGAATTGCTGGTTCATTTTTAAGTTTTTGAGGAACCACCATACATACTCTTTCCCATAGCAGCTGCACCACATTTTACATTCCCACCAACAATACACAAAGGTTCTAATTTCTCCACACTCTTGCAAAAATGTTATTTTTCTTTTAAAGTAACCTCCTAAGGGGTGTGATAACTCACTGTGGTTTTGATTTGCATTTCCCTAATTATTATCAATGTTGAGCATCTTTTCATATGCTTGTTGGCCACTTGTTTATCATATTTGGAGAATCATGTATTCAAGTCCTTTGCCCATTTTTAATTATTTTTTTTTAAATGGTTGAGCTATAGAAGTTCTTCATATTCTGGATATTAACCCCTTATTAGATACATGATTTGCTGGCTTTTCATTCTGTTGATTATGCCCTTTGATGTACAGAAGTTTTAAATTTTGATGTAGTCCACTTTGTCTATTTTATTTATTTATAAATTTATTCATTTTATTTATTTTTGGCTGTGTTGGGTTTTCGTTGCTGCGCACAGGCTTTCCCCAATTGTGGCAAGCAGGGGCCACCCCTTGTTGCGGTGCGCGGGCTTCTCATTGCGGTGGACTTCCTCCTTCCCTGCGGTGGGCTCTAGGCACACGGGCTTCAGTAGTTGTGGCATGTGGGCTCAGTAGTTGTGGCTCGCGGGCTCTAGAGCCCAGGCTCAGCAGCTGTGGCGCACAGGCTCAGCTGCTCTGCGGCATGTGGGATCCTCCTGGACCAGGGCTCGAACCCGTGTCCCCCGCACTGGCAGATGGACTCTCAACCACTGCGCCACCAGGGAAGCCCCAGTTTGTTTATTTTTACTATTTGTTGCCTATGCATTCAGTGTCGTACCCAGGAAGTCTTTGCCATATATGTTGTGAAACATATTCTAAGAGTTTTATAGTTTTAAGTCTTACGTTTTAGGTCTTTGATTAATTTTGAATTCATTTTTATTTATGGCATAAGGTAAGGATACAACTTCATTCTTCTGTTGTGGATATCCAGTGTTCCCAAAACCATTTGCTGAAGAGATTTCTTTCTCCATTGCATGGTCTTGGCAACCCTGTCAACATTTAACCATATATGTGTGGGCTCTCTATTCTGTTCCATTACTCTATATGTCTGTCTTTATGCCAGTAACACACTGTTTTGGTTACTGTAGCTTTGTTTTTCAAGTCAGGAAGTGTGAGTCCTCCAGCTCTGTTATTTTTCAAGATTAGTCTGGCTATTCATGGTACCCTTGAAATTCCGTATGTTTTAGGATCATTTTTTCTATTTCTGCAAAAGATGCATTTGGGATTTTGATAGGGATTGCATTAACTCAGTTGACTGCTTTGGGTAGTATGGACATCTTAACAATTTTAAGTCTTCCTATCCATGAACATGGGATATCTATTCATTTATATGTCTTCTTTAATTTCTCTCAGCAGTGTTTTGTAGTTTTCAGTGTATAAGTCTTTTGCCTCCTTGGTTAAGTTTATTCCTAAGTATTTTATTCTTCTTGATGCTACTGTAAATGAAACTGTCTTAACTTCCTTTTCAAATTATTGTTAGTGTACAAAAACTCAACTGTTTTTTTGCGTGTTGATTTTGTACCTTGCTACCTTGCTAAATGTGTTTATTAGCTGTAAAGTTTTTTGTGGAATCTTTAGGCTTTCTACATATAAGATCACATCATCTGGGACTTCCCTGGCATCCCAGAGGTTAAGACTCCGCACTTCCACTGGAGGGGGCATGGGTTTGATCCCTGGTTAAGAAACTAAGATCCCACGTGCCACACGGCATGGCCAAAAAAATAAGTAAGTAAAAATTAAAAAAAAAAAGATCACATCATCTGTGAACAGAGATAAAGTTACTTCTTTCTTTTCAATTTGAATGTCTTTTATTTCTTTATCTTGTTTAATTGGTTTGGCTCGGACTTCCAGCAGTGGCAAAAGCAAGCATCCTTGTCTTGTTCCTGATCTTAGAAGAAAAGCTCTTAGTCTTTCACTACTGAGTATGATGTTCACTGCGGGTTTTTCAAATATGGCCTTTTCGTGCTGAGGTAGTTTCCTTCTATCTTTATTTTGCTGAGTGTCTTTATAATGAAAAGGTACTGAATTCAGTCTACTGCTTTTTCTGCACCAAGATGATCATGTGGTTTTCTTCCTTCATAAATGTGATGCATTACATTCATCAATTTTTGTATGTTAAGCCATCTGTGCATTCCAGAAATAAATCCCATTTGGTCATGGTGTGTAATCCAATTGATGCAGTACTGAATTCTGTCTGCTAGCATTTTGTTGAGGATATTTACATCAATATTTATTAAAGATATTGGTCTGTAGTCTTTTCTTGTAGCATCTTTGTTTAGCTTTGGAATCAGGGTAACGCTTGCCTCAAAGAATTAAAAAGTGTTCCCTCCTCAATTTTTGGGAAGAGTTTGAGGAGAATGGTGTAAATTCTTCTTTAAATGTTTAGTATAATTCACCAGTGAAGCCATCTGGTCCAGTGCTTGGGTGAAGCAGGCACCAGGGAAGTGGGTATTGATTACTAATTCAATTTCCTTATCAGTTACAGGGCTGTTCAGAGCTTCTATTTCTTTGTTTTTATTATCATTTATAAATTTATTTATTTATTTTTTTGGCTGTGTTGGGTCTTCGTTGCTGCGTGCGGGCTTTCTCTAGTTGTGGCGAGCGGGGGCCACTCCTCGTTGTGGTGCGCGGGCCTCTCATTAACGTGGCTTCTCCTGTTGTGGAGCACACGCTCCAGGCACGTGGGCTTTGGTAGTTGTGGCACTCAGGCTCGGTAGTTGTGGCTCATGGGCTCTAGAGCGCAGGTTCAGTAGTTGTGGTGCACAGGCTTAGTTGCTTAGCACGTGGGATCTTCCCAGACCAGGGCTCGAACCCGTGTCCCCCGCACTGGCAGGCAGATTCTTAACCACTGCACCACCAGGGAAGCCCTAGAAGTTCTATTTCTTCATGATTCAATCTCAGTGGGTTGTGAACATAAATGACTTTAATTATGGCCCTTTCACCTGGACCATATTAGAAGCTAGTATCTCACACTAAAATATAGAGAAAGAGTTAAGCACAGTCACAGCAGAAACAAGAAAAAAATACTATTAAAAAGCATTTTCCGGGACTTCCCTGGCAGTCCAGTGGTTAAGAATCTGTGCTTCCACTGCAGAGGGCAAGGGTTCGATCCCTGGTTGGGGAACTAAGATGCCACATGGTACACAGTGTGGCCAAAAGAAAAAAAAAAAGCATTTCCCAAAAGTTTTTGGAAACTAACCAATTGGACCTGATGATATTAGGGAAAAGAAGCCAAAAAAGTCATACTATATCATTTCTTTATCACTTATACTTTTAAATGAAAGTAGAGAAACAATAATCATACACTATAGTAAGTTAAAGGGACAAGTTGCAAAAAAATGTATATAATATGAATACATTTGTGTTAACAGAAAAAAATTGTGATTTAGCTGATTATTTTTTAAATATGTAAATAAATTCATACCTATTTAGCCCTTCACCCACAGGTGGTTTTTCGTTATCATCTAAGTAAACAATCACTTCTTTCCTTCGGATATGCACAATGTCATCTAAATTTAGATTTGTCAAATTCACATCTCCTTCAAAATAGATTGAACCATAACCTATAAATCAGAACAAACAGTTAAAAACTCATCCTGTATAGAGGGCAAATACCCATTTCATACTTCTAGTGATTATATAATGAGAAGGAGCAAGCAGCTTTAAACATTAATCAATATTCTAAATCACCCAGCAATTCCTTGAATGGGTTATTTCATCTATAATATGTATTAGAAGGTGACATCAAATACATTTATCTGATTTAACATGTACGTTTTTACAGCACTTAACGTTATCCTCAAAATAGCCTTTTTAAATCTCTCCCCAAATTTAAATCTCTCCGGCTGCTACATAAATAACCCTTAACACCTAGCCTGCAGTATGAATTAAAATACTTGAGCCCTTCTTTTAATACAATACAGCAAGATGAGATTTTTCCCCAAGAAAATTTATCTGTAATAACTTAATAATATGAAGTTGAACCTAAATATTACCCATCTCTTGTCAACTATTAATTTTCTCACTATTTCTTGCTGTTTACAGTATTTTAATTGTAGAAAATTGCAATGAGCCAAATACTTACCAAATACTTACAAACAGTCTTTGTGAAGACTGTTACAAAGTTCTAGTCTTTTTTTGTTACTTGTCAATCAAAGTGTCTATTCAGGCCAAGGTGGGTCCAAATGTAGGTAAAAAACAAATTTAGCTATCAAGAGCTTCCTTTACTTAATTACAAAAATAAAGTGAAGATCTCTGGCTTATACACTACTAACTCTTAAATTCACACTCACCTTTACGACCAATAGTGAAGTCAGAGACAATGCACTCTCCTTTTTCATTGGTAATTTTAGCTAGGTCATCCATGGATGGAATAGTATAGTAGCCAACCTTAGTGAGAACGATGCCTATGACAAAAGAAACAGAAAATACTAGTTGTGACTGACCTCAGGTAGAGGAATTTTCGGTAATATTTATTTCACTTTTTCCTTTTTAAAAATTTTCTACAGAATGGATAATTTAAAAAATTACCTGAAATAATCAGTAAATTATTATAAAAAGAGAAAATATATAGGAATAAAGCATTTTTCCAAGCTAGTTTTCTTTTTTTTTTCAATCTGCTTTTCTAAGAAACACTATTCCTAAGAGAAACCAAGTGTTTTTTTAAAAAAACCTCATGGTTAAGTAAGTTTGGAGAACATGCACAAGATAGTATATTACAGGTTCTGAAAACTCACAAAACAATGAAATCTATTTACTTAATCCAGTGTTCCCAAGACTTATTTAACCACAGAACTTCCTTTTCATATGACACCTATTAACATACGTGCACTATGAAAGGCATTCCATAGAATACATTCTGGGAAAGACTTATTGTTTTCTTTTATTTTACACATGGAAGACGCCCAAACCCAGGTTTTTGGCTTATCTGGTAATTCAGTGGATTAGAGGTGGAGCTAAAACTCCAAAACCAATGCTTTTAGTTTTACATGTTATTGCCTTCTATAAACCTCTTGTATCTTTCAAATTTACATCCTCAAATTGAGAGCTAAAATCAAGATGAAAAATCCTACATGAGAAAGTCCCACAGACAAATGGAAACTTAAAGGACTACACTGATGTTATTTTAAAAAGTGCTAACTAGGCAGATTTCTGAAGAAATCAAAGAAAATATAGCATGGGTATGCTTGTTCTAGTCACGCCTTGTTCCATTTATAGGAAGAGATCAGGCTAACTTGCTCTCTGAGAGGAAAGAGTTTAAGGCCAATATAAGATCAAATTCCAGCCTCCAGCAATGCCCACTCACATGCTTAACTTGCTTCTCTATGGGCGAGTTTTAGAGGGTTGTTAAAGTGTCCTTGAGAATGGAATTTTAAATTGGGAGGCGGCAAAAAATGTCAGTGAGAAAACTAGAAACAACAAAAAAAAATCTAGACTGGATATTTAAGATGTAGTATTATAATGAACTCATGTAGATGTCTAAACACAAATATAGATAACACAGGATTCTTAATGTGAAAGTATAAAGTTGTTTCCTTAGGGCACCAAGTGACCAAAGATATATATGAAGGCAATAAGATAATTAGATATAGAACAAGTTTACAGACACATCAAGACAAACTGCAAAATAAATTTAAAAAAAAAAGACTAGGCAAAACTAATCTATGTGACAGAAACGAGACTGTGGTTGACTTCTTGAGATGGATACAGAAAAGAACTTTCCAGAGTGAAAGAAATGTTCTATCTCTTGATTGAGTATATATATGTCAAAATTCATTGAAATGAACACTTAAGATCTGTGTACTTCACTATATGTAAATTGTACCTCAGTTAAAAGGGGGGAAGGGGGAATGTGATGACATTTGTCAAAACCCAAATGAGATGTTAAGTCAACAGAGAAAAAGCAAACTTTAAGCATCCCATCAAGATACTGTTTCATGGATTAGTGTGGAAAAACTAATCAGTTCATTGTTGGGGACAAAAAAGAAAAGCACAGAACTGAGGTGATGATAACCATAGCAACCACTAACATTTGAATGCCTATTCTAGTCAGGCATTATGGTCTACTCAAATCTCAAAAATCTCATATGATAATACTGCTATAATTTTAATTAAAAAACCAATAAACAATATGTGAGTTTATAAAGCTAGGAAAAATTATGAGGATAGTCTCTCTGGCTACAAAATTTGGGATATTTAAACTATACCAGGATAATTAATAAAATGAATTTTAACTACTCCAAAGGTACAAAAAAAAAGTGAATTCCAAATCAACCAAAGCATCAGTGAGAAGTGTTTAAGTGTTAACTTCCATAAAATGCAATAAAAAACATTTAGAAGTTCAGATAGCTGACTTCTATTATGTTGAAAATCAGTGACAAACAGGAGGTCTCATATGACTGGTAGGAGATTACTTAAGTGCCAATCTGAATCTGACCTGCTGGATGCATATGGTAAGTATTATTTTCTATTTCTTCTCGGTCATCCTGAAGTGACTCCTCATGAAAAGAGGTCTCTTCACTGCTTCCTTCCAGCCCATTTCGCAAGGCAGCATGCATGTTTAACGCAACAATGGTATCATCCACACTGTTGCTGCTGTTATGTTTATTTCCAGCACTCTCTGGGGTTTGAGGAATGGGTTTGGCAATAGGGTTAGTATAAAAACGTGACACAAGAGAATCATCATCTCCATCCTGCTGATGGTTTTCATCGACTGGTTTGCTCAGAAAACTGAATCTGAAAAGGGAGAAAATAAACACTATCTTAGTCCCTTGAGTAGAAACAGTAGTAAAATGGTAACAATCAAACATTGCTAGGCTTTTACTAGCTTCTGGCACTGTTCTAGGTAATTCCATGTATTAAAAATTCACTTCATACTTACGGTAAACCTGTAAAATAGGCTATCATTCTCTGGCTGTAGATTCCACAGCTTTAACTGACCTATTTTCATGAATGAATGAACCTGAGCGTCACAACATTTAGTTTAAAGGGGAAAGGGGGTGTCTACTATGTGGGGTCAAATAATCAGTGGTGAATTTCAAAATAAAAAACTGAAAATTTTAAATTTTATAATCAATAAGGTATTAATGATTCACTTATGAAAACTCAAACTAAAATTTTATCCAAAGAGAAAAAAAACGAGTGCAAAGACATATATACAAGGATTTTTCACTGAAGCATTATTTTGAATATAGGAATACCAAAATAATCTAAATGTCCTCTAATAGAGAACTGATTGAATTACCTTACATTTACAATAATGGTTACAGACTCATTTAAAAAGAGGAGGCAGGTTATTCATATTGATACAGAAAGGTGTTTACAGTAAATGGAAATAAGCAGGTTACAGAATATTATTTCGTGCATAAACTCTACAATATATAAGAATATATTTATAAATAAATTTTTAAACTGTAAGAATATATACTGAACTCTTAAGAATTAGTGTATATACTTGTACTTCCTCCTTTATATATTTCTATACTTTTTTATTTTTTTGGTTTGGTTACAGTGACTGTGTATCACTTTAACAACCCCATCCAAAATGACATACATGGATACCAAAATAGTTTTGCAGAAATGAATCAGAAAAATAATTTTAAGGTCTAAAGTACTCAAGAAGCAACAACACAACATAACTTCTAGATGCTGATATGCTGTAATATTGGGTTGGCCAAAAAGTTCGTTTGGACTTTTCCGTAAGATGGTATGGAAAAATCCGAACAAACTTTTTGGCCAACCCAATACTTCTAACTTCATACAATTTCATAGAATGAATAAATTCTAAGCTCAGAATCTTTTCTAAATGAGCACAAGGCCCTCTACCAGAAGTAACCCAAATGAGAATTCAGTTTACCTCTCTCCATTTTCTGGATAATCAGATGGTGAAGCTAGATCTTCTGAATCACGATTAACAGGAGAGAAGAGATTGCTATTGTTAAGGTTTTTCAAAACCAACTTCTTAATGCTCTTCCTATAAGCAGAGACCAAAAGAAAAAAAGAAAGAACTCAGGCACACATAATTACATCAAAGACCATCTTAAAACCTTAAGTGGAAAGGGACACTCTCATTCAATTCATATATATCTAAAATTGACCTAACAAGTTCAATTCACCAACTTATCCCATAAATACATAACCAGAACACAAGGTCTCAAATGTATTACACTCTGTGTTTGGAAGAATAAGCTAAGCACATCAAAATCAAGTAGGAAATCCCCCATAAAATACTCTTCCCTTTCTGAACTCCCTGAGCATTTTGTTCAGACACTAGTTTACTCATCACACTGTCATATATTTCAATTACTTCTCTACATGTCTTTTCTCTCGTTAAATACTTTTTCTTTTTTGGCAGTCAGGATTTATGACTGCTCCTGCATAGAACTTGGCACGCTGCCTTGAAGGAAAATAGGATAGATGTTTGTTGATTAAATGAGAAAGGTTTCTTTAAAAAAAAAGACAAGAAAGAGGAGTAAAATCCCCTGATATCCAATGATGGAAATGACCATGAATACCTAAAAAGTTCGTTTGTGTACAATAGGTTTATTTAAGGCAACAACCTCTACAGCATACCAGCTTTAAGTAGTAAAACAATACAAGAGATCTTAATCAACCTCCACTTAAAAAGTCACCGGATTACCTAATGCACTCCATTCCCTCTTTTAGAAAAACCAACCATTGGGAATTCCCTGGAGGTCCAGTGGTTAGGACTGCACGTTTCCACTGCGTGGTTTGATCCCTGGTTGGGGAACTAAGATCCCATATGGTGTGCGGTACAGTCAAAAAAACAAAAACAAAGCAAAACAAAAAAAACCCCACCAACCAACCCGCCTCCCCACCCCCTGCCTCGACCGCCGCCCAAAACCAACCATTAAGTAGTTAGGCCGCTCTCTAATTTATTCTAGTCTCAACAACTGGGTTATATAGTAACAAACATCTAGTGTTTGTTCCTTACCTATGTATGCTATTTGTACTCCCTATAGTCATGATGTTATTAAATAAGTATTAAGTAAGCCAATGAAATAGGCACTTGACAATAAAAAATTATTATTTCCATGAAAAATAAAAGTTGCTCTCCTATTAATGGTAGACTAGGTAATGCAGACTAATTCTCCTAGGAAGGACTACCAGAAAACTCAGAGCTCTTTCTAGGCATTAAGAGGCAACAAGATAGTAAAAAATGACTGTACCAGCAACCTGGGGGGACAGTGGTACGGGGAGCTGTCTGATATTTTGGGTTGCTTTTCTCCTGGAGACTTTTCGGATCCAAAGGGAAGGCTGAGAGGCTGATGGTGAACTTGACAAGTCTTGTGGGACCAGGGAGGCAGAGATGAGTCTAGAGCCACCAACGGGGTGGGTCACTAGTAAATGCCACTTGTTTTGTGTTGGGACCTGAAAAGTCTCTACCCCTGGAGTTAAGAAAGAACTAAAAGTAAAAAGCACATGGTCCTAAGTTCAGCTATGACTCATTTCATAAGCACTGTCATAAAAAAAGAAAAAAAAACTCTGAAGGTCAATATCATCATCCTTGAATTCCAGTTACTGCCAGTTTTCTTCAAAGAAGATAAATGGCCAATAAGCACATAAGACACACAACATCATAAAGGGAATGCAAATTACAAGCATGAGGTACCACTTCACCCCCACTACAATGGCTGTTATAAACAGACAGACATACCAGAAAATAACAAGAGCTGACAAAGATATGGAGAAAATTAAAACATTGTGCACTGCTGGTGGGAATGTAAAATGGTGCAGCGGCTATGGAAAACAGTTTGGCAGTTCTTTTTTTCTTTATTTTTTAACATCTTTAGTGGAGTATAATTGCTCTACAATGGTGTTAGTTTCTGCTTTATAACAAAGTGAATCAGCCATACATATACATATATCCCCACACCTCCTCCTTCTTGCGTCTCCCTCCCACACTCCCTATCCCACCACTCTAGGTGGTCACAAAGCATGGAGCTGATCTCCCTGTGTTATGCAGCTGTTTCCCACTAGCTACCGATTTTACATATGGTAGTGTATATATGTCCATGCCACTCTCTCACTTCGTCCCAGCTTACCCTTCCCCCTCCCCGTGTCCTCAAGTCCATTCTCTATGTCTGCGTCTTTACTCCTGTCCTGCCCCTAGGTTCTTCAGAACCAATTTTTTCTTTTTTTCAGATTCCATATTTATGTGTTAGTATACAGTATTTGTTTTTCTCTTTCTGACTTACTTCAGTCTGTATGACAGACTCTAGGTGCATCCACCTCACTACAAATAACTCAATTTCATTTCTTTTTATGGCTGAGTAATAGTCCATTGTATATATGTGACACATCTTCTTTATCCATTCACCTGTCAATGGACACTTAGGTTGTTTCCATGTCCTGGCTATTGTAAACAGAGCTGCAATGAACACTGTGGTACATGAGTCTTTTTGAATTATGGTTTTCTCAGGGTATATGCCCAGTAGTGGGATTGCCGGGTCATATGGTAGTTCTATTTTTAGTTTTTTAAGGAACCTCCATACTGTTCTCCAGAGTGGCTGTATCAATTTACATTCCTACCAACAGTGTAAGAAGGTTCCCTTTTCTCCACACCCCCTCCAGTGTTTTTTGTAGATTTTTTTGATGATGGTCATTCTGACTGGTGTGAGGTGATACCTCCTTGTAGTTTTGATTTGCATTTCTCTAATGATTAGTGATGCTGAGCATCCCTTCATGTGTTTGTTGCCAATCTGTATATCTTCTTTGGAAAAATGTCTATTTAGGTCTTCTGCCTATTTCTGGATTGGGTTGTTTGTTTTTTGGATATTAAGCTGCATGAGCTGCTTGTAAATTTTAGACATTAATCCTTTGTCAGTTGCTTTGTTTGCAAATATCTTCTCCCATTCTGAGGGTTGTCTCTTCGTCTTGTTTATGGCTTTCTTTGCTGTGCAAGAGCTTTTAAGTTTCATTAGATCCCATCTGTTTTTGTTTTTATTTCCATTTCTCTAGAAGGTGGGCCAAAAAGGATCTTGCTGTGATTTATGTCAAAGAGTGTTCTTCCTATGTTTTCCTCTAAGAGTTTTATAGTGTCTGGCCTTACATTTATGTCTTTAATCCATTTTGAGTTTATTTTTGTGTATGGTGTTAGGGAGTGTTCTAATTTCATTCTTTCACATGTAGCTGTCCAGTTTTCCCAGCACCACTTATTAAAGAGGCTGTCTTTTCTCCACTGTATATTCGTGCCTCCTTTATCAAAAACAAGGTGACTATATGTGGGTGGGTTTATCTCTGGGCTTTCTATCCTGTTCCATTGATCTATATGTCTGTTTTTGTGCCAGTACCATACTGTCTTGATGACTGTAGCTTTGTAGTATAGTCTGAAGTCCATGAGCCTGATTCCTCCAGCTCCATTTTTCTTTCTCAAGATTGCTTTGGCTCTTCGGGGTCTTTTGTGTTTCCATACAAATTGTGAAATTTTTTTCTTCTAGTTCTGTGAAAAATGCCATTGGTAGTTTGATAGGGATTGCACTGAATCTGTAGATGCTTTGGGTAGCATAGTCATTTTCACAATGTTGATTCTTCCAATCCAAGAACATGGTATATCTCTCCACATGTTTGTAACATCTTTAATTTCTTTCATCAGTGTCTTCTAGTTTTCTGCATACATACAAGTCTTTTGTCTCCTTAGGTAGGTTTATTCCTAGGTATTTTATTCTTTTTGTGGCAGTGGTAAATGGGAATGTTTCCTTAATTTCTCTTTCAGATTTTACATCATCTTTCACCATCTGAAGAGTTTGAGAAGGACAGGTGTTAGCTCTTCTCTAAATGTTTGCTGGAATTCGTCTGTGAAGCCACCTGGTCCTGGGCTTTTGTTTATTGGAAGCTTTCTAATCACAGTCTCAATTTCAGTGCTTGTCATTGGTCTGTTTATATTTTCTCTCTCTTCCTGGTTCAGGCTCAGAAGGTTGTGCTTTTCTAAGAATTTGTCCATTTCTTCCAGGTTGTCCATTTTATTGGCATATAATTGCTTGTAGTAATCTCTCATGATCCTTTGTATTTCTGCAGTTAGTTGTTACTTCTCCTTTTTCATTTCTAATTCTACTGATTTGAGTCTTCTCCCTTTTTTTCTTGATGAGTCTGGCTAATGGTTTATCAGTTTTGTTTATCTTCTCAAAGAACCAGCTTTTAGTTTTATTGATCTTTGCTATCATTTCCTTCATTTCTTTTTCATTTATTTCTGATCCGATATTTATGATTTCTTTCCTTCAGCTAACTTTGGGGTTTTTTTTGTTCTTCTTTCTCTAATTGCTTTAGGTATAACGTTCTGTTGTTTATTTGAGATGTTTCTTGTTTCTTGAGGCAGGATTGTTTATTTGAGATGTTTCTTGAGGCAGGAATGTATTGCTATAAACTTCCGTCTTAAGAAATGCTTTTGCTGCATCCCATAGGTTTTGGGTCGTTGTGTTTTCTTCATTGTCATTTGTTTCTAGGTATTTTTTGATTTCCTCTTTGATTTCTTCAGTGATCTCTTGGTTATTTAGTAGTGTACTGTTTAGCCTCCATGTGTTTGTATTTCTTTTTACAGATTTTTTTCTGTAATTGATACGTAGTCTCATAGTGTTGTGGTTGGAAAAGATACTTGATACAATTTCAATTTTCTTAAATTTACCAAGGCTTGATTTGTGACCCAAGATATGATCTATCCTGGAGAATGTTCCATGAGCACTTGAGAAGAAAGTATATTCTGTTATTTTTGGATGGAATGTCCTGTATCAATTAAGTCCATCTTGTTTAATATATCATTTAAAGCTTGTGCTTCCTTATTTATTTTCATTTTGTATGATCTGTCCATTGGTGAAAGTGGGGTGTTAAAGTCCCCTACTATGATTGTGTTACTGTTGATTTCCCCTTTTATGGCTGTAAGCATTTGCCTTATGTATTGAGGTGCTTCTATGTTGGGTGCATAAATATTTACAAATGTTATATCTTCTTCTTGGATCG